AATGTGTTTGTATGTGTAATTACATATACTACATTTGATAGATGATTTATAGGATTTTCAAGAGTAAATCTTAAATGCATAACCTCACTGGTCCCCAGCCCAGCTTTAGATGAAATTCCATTCGCCTGAATCATCTGACCATCTCTGGTGGAACTGATAGGGAAGGCAGTGCCTGTTGAAAAACAGCTCCACCAGTAAGGGAAAGGGCAGTTCTAAAAGGAAAACAAGTAGGGTCTTTTGCCAAAAGGGAAAAGGCAACTGGCAAACCAATTATTGATTTATTCACTCAACAGGTATTGCTGAGTGCCTACCGTGTGTCAGGCATTCTTCTAGGCACTGGGCCTACAAAAGTAAACTTTACACCAAATGCCCTTCCTTTCCGGAGCTTACACTGTAGGGAGAGCGACAGACATTGGAGTAACCCAGTGCAGATATGCTGTGATATCTGGTAGAGATGAGACCTCTGAAGAACGGTCATGGCAAGCATCTTCAGTTATGGGTTGGGTGTTTTAACAGTGCAGCTGGAGGAAACAGGGCAGAGAATCTTCTTGTTCTGGGATACTCTTCAGTTAGCCCTTATAAGGTAAGAAGGATCTTGATAGGCAAGTCCTGTTGAGTTATCTCAAGTGTAAAAAAAGCACAAGCCGGGCCAGCATCTGAGTGGGATGGAGTAAGATACGTTCTGGGAATGGGAAGAAATTTGCCATGACAGCTGCGTATAGAGCGTGTGGAGGTTAAGGTCATAAGGCTGGTGTGGTAGATTGGGTGAGACCATGCAAGAACAAGAGTAGCAGGCTAGGGAGTGGCATCACCAGATCCATGGTTATGAAGATGACTAGAAACAGTATGGAAGGTTGGGTAAGAGGCTGCCTGCGTCAAGGGAGGAAGGCCACCTGTGGGACTGAAAGCAGGCTCTTGTCAGATGGACAGGACGGCAGAGCTTTCAGAGACAGAGTCTGCGGGATTTGGGGACCAACTTGCTTCTACTGACCTAAAGGACTTGTTCATCATCTAAAATGAGTCTTCCTTTGCAATTCTACTGATGTTTTGTCAAAGACAAGAAGCCTTTAGAAATGGGAAACACACCCAGCTGTCATGGCTCAGTGGTTGAGTATTTAACTATGAACCAGTAGGTCACAGTTCAGTTCCTGGTCAGAGCATATGCCTAGGTTGCGGACTTGATTCCCAATGTGGGACATGCAGGAGGCAGCTGATCAATGATTCTCTCTCATCATTGATGTTTCCATCTCTCTCTCCATCTCCTTTCCTCTCTGAAATCAGTAAAAATATTTTTTTTAAAAGAGAGAAGTGGGAAACATATTGTGAAAATGGTTAATGTTTGTTCAGGATAAAAATCTCATCGAGTAACAACAGTGAAGTTATGGGAGTAGGTGGAGTGCCCATTGACACTAGAAAGGGCCCCCAGTGGCCTCTGAGAGTGACATGCGTTCTTGGGAAGAGTTTCCGGGAGGGATTGCTGTTGCCTTCCAGACCAGGCTGATGGACCTTCTTGTGCCTTTACAGGCAACACCTATGAAGTGGGAGTTCACATCGCCGACGTCAGTTACTTTGTCCCTGAGGGCTCCGAATTGGATCAAGTGGCTGCTCAGAGAGCTACGAGTGTCTACTTGGTTCAGAAGGTAAAAATCAGTCTCTAGTTTCTTGGATTGAAAAATGTGCTTCTTCCCTTCTTTTAAATTTTTTTTTATTTCTCTTTAAACAAAAAATTCCTGAGGAACAGCAACCTTGTCTGAACATCTTTTCTCACATCTAATAAGGTTTTTTTTAAAAAAAAAGTTTTCCCTGGAAAAATACTTGTCCTCTATTATTGCATGTTTTCCTGTTAGGCCCTTATATATTCAAGAGGAACGAAATTAAAGAGATAGGAAGGCAAAACACAGATATTCATCTCCAGCCTTCATACAGGCCCTGCCACGTAAGTAATGCAGATAAGTAGTCAGCTTCAGCAAGAAATGAGGAAAAATAACTGCTTGCAAACTATCATTCCAAACAAAGCAGGGCTCAGCAAACTCAGCCACAGCAGCCACCATTTTTATAAACTTTTATTGTAACACAGTCATACCCATTCACTTATGTAATATCTATTAAATGGTCATACTATAGAAGAATGGAATGAAAGTTTACTACTAGTCTTTTAAGAAAAAGTTTTTTGTATTTTTTAAATAGATTTTAAAATTGATTTTTAGAGAGAGAGGAAGGCACCCTACTGGGATTGAGCCTGCAACCTGGGCATGTGCCTTGACTGGGATTTAAACTGGCAACCTTTTGTTGCACTGGACTCAACCAACTGAGCCACACCTCCCAGGGTGTTTTGACTCCTGTTCTAAAGGGTGGAGCTCATCTGCTCCTGCCCTGCCCTTTACAAGATACCCTGGATTCTCAGAGATGGAAAAGCAAAGGGAGCCAAGGATATACCATCTGCCTAGTCTTGATTCTGCCATTCCTGATGAGGCACTGAGTCTATAGGCCTCCTTTAACAAGTATTCAATGGGCACCAGTGTCTTCCCGGCACTGCTCTTGGCCCTTGGGGGCGGTGATGAATAAAAGACCATATGTGAGTTATTTCTACCCCCTTACTGAAGCTCATGAATTCTTCCAGGTTCTTTTCTCCTCCATTCATCTGCTTATTTGGTTATATCACGACTTTCACTTCCTTAGCTTCCTTAAATCCTATGGTCCAGTTTTAGATTGGTACCTATACTAGCTTGAACTTTCCCTCCTCCCATGCCCTCAGGACATGACTTCTGGTGTTTTCTCTTTGAATACACTAAGGTGAGAGGTATATTCCCACCATCCACCCACTCACATGTACATGGGAGTTGGGAACCTTTTACCTAGGGAGAGGATACAACAGCCCAGTCTCCCTCCACTGCCTAATCTGATTTTCAGCTCCCATTGCCAGCACACCTGTGTGCCTACACAGCTGGCAAAAGGAAAAGCCAGGCTATAAGCACTGCCCTCAAAAGCAGCATGTCTTGGTAGGCCACTGTGGTTCTGGCTACCACCCCTCTAACTTCTGGGGAAATTCACTGTGCTGCCTACCCCAGATAGAAGCATTTAGATGGATAACTATAGGTTTGAGAAAACCACCTACAAAGGGGTTCTGAAGAGGCCCTTGAAAGCCCTGATCTTTATGAACATCTTGGCACAAGCATTAAGACATGTCTGTAGGACAGCATTTCCCTTCTCTTAGTTATTGCTGACCTCTCTCTTTATTATCACCCCTTTAAAACTAGGGCTTGAAAAATGTGTATTCCTGGCCACCTGAGCCTCCATTTCTTGCTGTTCCCCAGAATGGGTTGGCCCTTTTATGGACATGCTGTCTAGACCCAGGCAGAGCAGGCCACCAGAGATCCATGTGCTGCTAATCCTAGAGATGTCACACCCCTAGGGTCCTAGGAATCAGACCACCTGCTCTTGTTATGCCTGGTCCCTGGCCATAGGGAAGGATGAGTATCATCCTGACAATGCTAACTGTGGTAGTGCATCTTTTTAGAAGCCAGTGTTCTCCTAGGTTCTGAAAATTGTCCCTGACTACTTCATGTCCATGCTCATAGATGGCCCCATCACACTATTGCCAAGGATATACCATCTGTGCCCATATCACAAATGTATAATTACCCTGGAACCCAAGGCTTGTAAGACTACCCAGCTATTATAGTATATAGTCAGCCCTCTGTATCCACTGATTTTGTATCCCTGGATCCAACCAACTACATATTTAAAACATTCGGGGGGAAAAACAGTTATGTTATTGCTGACATGTACTATGTAGTTAGCCCTGTGATGGTTACGTCTGTACTAAACATGTACAGACTTTTTTTCTTGTTATTCCCCAAACAATACAGTATAACAACTATTTACATAGCATTTACATTGTATTAGGGATTATAAGTAATTTAGAGATGAGTTAAAGGTTGTGCATGGGTTCTATGCAAATGCTACATACAACATTTTATATAAGAGACTTGAGCATTTTCGGATTTTGGTATCTGTGGGAATTGTCCTGAAACCCGTCCCTCATGGATTCTGAGGGATGACTGTACTTCCTTTCAAGTCTGAAACCAAGGCTTCCTACAAATAGAGACGTCAACTGTGTCAAGGGTTTCTCAGCCTCTCTGTCTTTGCTGTGGAGCCCACTTCTGCCAGGACTTCTGTTGCTTCAATACAGCCATCATGGAAAGTTCCCATGATTCCCACAGACCCAAGACTTAATGTAGCTCTGCTCTGGTGCACAGAATTGGGTCATCCCCACCTCAGCCTTAGTGGGCATCATCTGTGACATGTGGAAGATGGGCTTTCAAACATACCTCTGCCACGTCCAATAAACCTAATGTCATTTGACCTTTGAGTGCCCCAGCCGCGTGCTAGCAATGCATGGACTACATTTACTATAGCCTCAGGTTGGAGATGTCTCATCCACATCCCCTGCCCGAAAATGCAGGACCTCTTAGGGAAGGGAGATGAGACTTCAAAATCACTTTTATCTACAAAACTATAATGTTATGATGGAAAGAGAAATAAAAGTAGCAATCTCTTTACAGACCACATGAAAGTGCATAAAAGAAATGTTCTCCCCACATAGAAAAGCTTAACTGTGATCTTCAAATTCAAATATTTAGGAATTTTTGTCAAAATGTGAGGTTCTTCTAAGCAGGTGTCTTTCTCTTATCTAACTGCTGCATTCTCTTTTTGTAACCAGGAATTTTGTTTCAAAATTAGAAAATGATGAAACAAAATTGGGTTAAATAACTAAGCATGTTTTCTGTTCTCTTTGATTTCCTGATTGTCACAGTTCTAGAATTTATTGTTGGGACTCTGCTCCTAAGCTCTGAAAGCAGGAGCTGGGTGGAGGAAGGGCCATCGTGCCTCTGAATGGCTGCGGGCTCCTGCCGCCTGCCGGCACTGCCCCAGCTTGGCAGGAGCGAGTGGCGCCGGCCTACAACCTTGGACAGCAGCAGCTGTGCCTCCGGATTCTTTGGAACCACAACTCTGACCTTTCTTCCTACTCGTTTTTGTTTCTTAAAGGACTGTGTCCAGGAACTCTTCTGCTGTTTTCACTTTACTTTGCCTATAAAGGTCTTCTTAAAAGCTGGATGAGCTGTGTTCCTCCTCCTCAGATCCTCTGCTCTCTCACTTGGCAGAATCATTGTCCCAACTCCATCAGATGGGAGAGGGAATATGTGTGGTGGGGGCAGGGGTGCCGGTTATTTTCCCACCTGGAAGGAATGTGGCACTAATTGTGTTCATTCAGTGCTACTGACCTGTGAGTGACTGATGTCAGATTGCAATCTAAGCTTGATGGGGCAGCATGCAGGGCAGCAGATCTGGGTCCAAATACTGTCCTACTGCCTTCTAAATGAAATTCTTTTTGTTGGGACGTTATTCACAGAAATAAGTATTTGGTTATTCTTGTTAACACTAGGGTTTACTCAGGAGGAAAGATAAATTTAAATATTGTCCATTTAAATCCCTTGAAAAAAACACTTTTTTTTCTTTTTTAACAAAAGATATAACACCTTTTTTAAAAACAAAACAAAAGATATCTGTTAGGCTAGGGACTATTTGCCCTAACTTGGGCCTGTCCTTCTCAGAAGGACATGCCATCTACCCAGTTAATGTTTCCCACTGTCTTCTCTGAGAGAGAAATATAATGTAATTGTAAAACTTAAGGTAATTCTTTTAAATAAGTGAATTGAGTTTTAAAAGTAAAAGAAAACCTAAACAGTTGAAACCTAAACCAAAAATTTCTGCCTATTGGCCCAAGCACTTGTGTTATTTTAGGTGTGAAACAGCTCAAATGAAAGTTCGCCCATAAATCTCTACGATATTTTATTGGTACTGCTTTATAATAGAGATCAAAGATTGGGATTGGAAGCCTGTCTTAATGTGGAGTCCAAAGAGTTTTAAGATGTTCCTTTCTGACCCCAGCAGGTTGTCAGAATGTTGATGTTTTGTTAATGTCAAACTGTGCAACACAGAGTTGATCAAATTCGAAATTCAAGGAAGTGTTGATGTGAAAAAGAAAATTCTTTAAACAGAGATGTTGGTTGGCAAGTGAATTATCTCTGTCTTTTAAGTTGCTTATGTGTGCGAGTTGGGAGCTAGCTGAGTGCACCTCATTGTTAAAACCTCGAAGTCCTCAGGAGAAAATTCACCACGTTCTCAGGCTCAGACAGCCAGTGGGCACTGAAGGTGTGAGGGAAGTTTGGGAGCCAGCAGTGGCCTGAGCTGAGGGGGACAGAAGAGCCCTCTACAGCCCCTCCCAGTTCTGGGCAACCCAGTTGTTGACAGCTGGCTTCCTTCAGCTATTGTAGCCCCTTGTCACTGCTTGTCACCTCCTGTTCCTCTTTGCCTAGCTGATTGATTCTTCCCCTCTGTGGCCCTTTCTGTTGGTCACAGGGCTGTCCTGGCTAACCCGTTGCTGAACTTGGCCAGCCTACCGCTGTGGCTTTCGCAGATGTTTCTGCTCTCTGAGGCTAATATAAGATTTTATAGTCTTGTTGGTACCCCCACCCAGCTGCCTTGGGCAGTGGTGTATTTACCTAAATGATCAATTTCTCTCAGCTCTCTTAAGCTCTAGTCCAGAATGCTTAGAAAGTCGGTATCCTATCTTCAC